ATGGAACGAGAGTGTAAGTAAGACACTATACAATTTTTATGGAGAGAGAGAGAGAGATGGACAGAGGGTCTATGTAAGACACTATACAATATTTGTGAAGAGAGAGAGATGGAACGAGAGTGTAAGTAAGACACTATACAATTTTTATGGAGAGAGAGAGAGAGATGGACAGAGGGTCTATGTAAGACACTATACAATATTTGTGAAGAGAGAGAGATGGAAAGAGGTTGTATGTAAGACACCATACAATATTTATGGAGAGAGAGAGACGGAAAGAGGGTGCATGAAAAACACAATAAAATATTTATGGATAGAGAGAGAGAGATGGAAAGAGGGTGTATGTAAGACACTATACAATATTTGTGAAGAGAGAGAGATGGAAAGAGAGTATGTAAGACACCATACAATATTTATGGAGAGAGAGAGACGGAAAGAGGGTGCATGAAAAACACAATAAAATATTTATGGATAGAGAGAGAGAGATGGAAAGAGGGTGTATGTAAGATACTATACAATATTTATGGTAAAAGATATAAAGAGGGTGTATGTAAGACACTAAACAATATTTGTGGAGAGAGAGAGATGGAAAGACAGTGTATGTAAGACACTGAAGAGATTCTTACCAATAGTATAACTCCTAACACGTGACAGAATAACCTACCGAACCAAAAACTCTCTTGCTGCTTATGGTCACAGTATATTTTCAGGACATGATATTACGAATATTTAATACACACACGTGTATATAAGTATGTATGTGTGTGTAAATGTAAACTTCCGATGAATGGTAGTGTCTGTCTAAGATCAATATAAACCTAAAAATTATATAATCCTTTTTAAAAACTATTACACGATGGTAATATGATAGAACTCTTCAACCACACAGTATCATCTCACACGGATAGGCTAACTGAATGTCTAATGGACCATTACATCCCTCTAGCGGAATTTGTATCAAAGATCTCCATTAGAGAACCAACAACTCTCTCACATTTCAGTTGAATAAATAGAGATAACCGGATCTTTTGAAGTCTTAAGATCATTTCGCTGTTATTTGTTGAGATTTTTAATGCCTTATCTACGGTAATCGTTTATTTTTGTAACTATATAAACTGCTCTGATATTTGTATACGAGTTCCGTGAACTTCTGTGAAGTTCTTCAGTTTTACGTAAAGAACATGCTAACGTTTATTCCTACTTAGACATTATGGAATATTGTTGACTTTTTAATTTACCGTGTGTTACTAACGTTCTTTCTACATAGAAAATGTGGAATATTGTTGACTTTTCAATGTTTGTTTGTTTTCGAAATTTCGCACAAGTCTATTCGAAGGTTAATTACGGTGGCTGTCCCTAATATAGAAGTGATAGACTGAAGGAAAGGCAGCTAGTTAACACCACCCACCGTCAACTTTTCGGATACTACTTTTTACCAACGAAGAGTGGGATCAACGGTAAAATTATCACACCCTCTCAGCTGAAAGACGAGCATCCCCTAACCACCAGGCCATGCGAAGGCCCTAAAACTTCGAACTGGTACCTTATGAAATCAAATTTTTTATTTGGCAGTACTTTGTAAACACAATATTCATAATCGCTCATATTACACGCTTTTATCTGATTATGTGTGCGACACCTTGTTTTTACTGTTATTATTAATTTAAATTATACATACATTACATTACTGGTGTCCAAGATTCACCAACTTACAAAATTATTTATATTACCTCACTGCAATATTATATTCTATATAAACACGTGGTTTTACTTTATTTCTACCTTTTTTTTTGGAACTTGACGATTGATATTCTTTCCGGGAAGAATAAGGTTTTTTATTCATTATTATTATGTTTTAGTTATGCAGAATAATCGAATTTCCGTTCATGGTAAAAAAAGAAAGAAAAAATTATATTTGTTTGCAGTAAAATTGTGGGAATGTCTTTGTCCTATGGACGTGTCTGTACAACAGTTTTACTGTTTTATTACGAAACTAAGAAACTTATGGAGAATAATAGATCTTCCTGTAAAAAATAATCAAATGTTTACACAGGGTTGAGTAAGTTATATCAAAACAATTCTGGAATATGCAAATCAGCAAGTCACGTGATAACTGCAGCCAGTATAAAGTCGCGGTACAATGGAACGTACAGGAAGTGCATTTTTGAAATTGTTTGGCGTTATGTATATGGTGTGATGCCACCGAAACTTAATTGCTTTTGGGAAGGGCATGTGATAGCCCTTTCCGACGCAAAGTATTCAAGCACACAGATCGTAAAAATGTTTTCAGATTGGGTATTTAGAATATCTGACACGGGAATATCACTTGCACATAATGGCATTCGAAAACAAAGGAAAATGGATCAACTTGGGATACCAGTACCATACAAAAAGAGATCTGAAACAAGTCGTACCCCAGCTGTGGTAAGCAAAGTGTGGCATCTCGTTACATGTGAGAATCCAAGAACGAATATCTCAGTGGCAAGAGTTCTCCATGTTTCCCAGGCAACCGTGCGAAACATGATCATGGAAGATCTCCGTCCGAAAAAGAGACGGAACAAAGTTTTTGCAATGAAGACTACGTAGAAGGATTATTGTTAAATGAACGATTGCCAGATAGAGCATGACCGGACATGATGAGATAAAATGTGACGACGGGCAGATGTTCCAAAATCGTTTCAATATAATGAGCTCAACTTCTTAAAAGCAGCCTTATCAGTGTAGCAAATTAAATGGCTACATAATTATGTTTTGTGTTTTTGCCCAGACATTTATAGTGAAAGAGTTACTTTCTTATTGAAATACAAATTAATAACAAGAATTAATAATTAAATAATTAAAGAAGTGTCTTCACTTACTATTAGAGCATTCGATTAAATTGAACGTTACGTTAAACAGAGACTTCCTTGGATTCAAGTATAACCGATCCTAATGTTGAGCTATGGACCAGAGGGATAACAATTAGCTGCAGCATCTACAGCCACAAGAACTATTCTTGTGCAAACATTTTAGACTTTTCGATATAAACACCTGGATTTATTTTGTTTTTGCCTTTTTTTTTTGAAATTTGAATGCACCAAATAATTACTACGATACATTAAAATAGTCTATACGTCCTGTAAAAAAAATGATTTATACGTTTACAGAAGATAGAGTACCTTATATTAAAATGATTTATAATGTGCAAATCAACAAGTCACGTGACAGTTGCAGCCGATATAAAGTGGTGCAAATAATTTTATCAGGAATACATCTTGATATTAGTTTGGTGTTACGTAAGTAGTGTTATCCCACTGAAAATTAATCATTCATACACACAGATATATTAAAATGCGGAGAGTGCTCAGCAGAATCACGGTTCGAACATTATACTCTACGACCTTCAGTCCAGTACGCTCACTAACTATTAGGCCATGCTTGGCTTTGACTACCCGAATTATTCTCATAGATTTGGGAATGATTTTAAATAATCTTTCTTTATAACTACTTTAATATTGCCATTTGTATATTATAGTAACACTTTATGAACTGTGACATGTGAGAAAATACAAATTAAATACCTCGTATTTCGAAGAAGGCTAAGCTTAAACTTAAAATAATCAGAAAAATATTACCACACTGCGCAGAACAATAATTTATTACATATATATTAATAGTTTAATTTATTACAGATATATTAATAGCTTAATTTATTACAGATATATTAATAGTTTAATTTAATTACAAACAATAATCTTTCAATTAGACTGATAGATAAATGTATTTACTTGTATTGTTGTTTTACTTCTCCATATCTCTCCAACTTTTAATATTGTTATCAGGACATTAATTTCATTTTCATAAAAAACAATAAATACACTTTTATTTATGATCTATCGACTTTATAACTGAGCATATATGGTGAACGTGGTTATGGATAAAATTATTCTAACTTTCTGGGGTTTTACTGTCGTCAGTTGCTAAGCTGTCTAACGCACCTCGGAGTTTTGATGAAAAGAAGATGGAGAGCGTAATCCTGGTAAATGTGGCATCTGCGAAAATACGTGATTAAGAAATTTATGACAATAAATAATGGAAGATTGCAACATGTAAGGAAAAGTAGAAAGTAAAACGATAAACTAAGAAGTTTACTTCGAAAAGTCGTCTTTGAAGAAATCTCATATCAGTTTAATCCAATAAAAAAAAACGATACATTGAAATAATCTATACTTCCTGTAAACAAAGAAAAAAAAAGAAGATTAAACGTTTACAGAAGATAGAGTACCTTATATTAAAATGATTTGGAATATGCAAATCAACAAGTCACGTGACAGTTTCAGCCGATATAAAGTGGTGCAAAGAATTGTATCAGGAATATATTTTAATATTTGATTGGTGTTACGTAGGTAGTGTTATCCCACTGAAAATTAATCGCAAAATATTCATACACACAGATATGTTAAAATGTATTCAGATTGAAAACTTAAGGTTTCCAAGACGGAAGAGGGAATCATGCTTAAGGATTTTCAAGTTGTGTATCAAGTATAATTATTTTCAATTTACTTTTACAGATCAAAATTAATAAAGGTAACCAATTCTTGTCTCAGTTTCACAGTATGTACTAACTAGAGTCATCCTCTAATTATACAGTCACAAATTTCGCTATTCAGTCATTCCTTGTTTCCATTATAAGAAACAGTGCAATAGTTTATTAATTCTATACAATACTAGACCACCGTGACCGTTGGGTCACCCACTATTCAGGGGTTATGAAGAATTCAAGCTAATTTCAATATTGCATCGAAATGAAGGTTATTTTGAGATAATTAAATTAAATATTTCAATCCATTCGTTTTTTTTGGTTTTTGTTTTTATAGAAGAGTTAGCACAAAGGATCACATGTAAAGTGGAATAGACTTAAAATAAGACCGAAAACTCGAGCGCTTTCGAATAGTTGACTATTCTTCTTCAGGAGAACAAAGGGTAACATTCGTGTTATTCATAATTCAAGAAAAGATATTTGATTGTTGATCTGGAGTAAAAGGAAATACCATTTTATTTTTCAAAGAAGATGGGACCATTGACAGGGTAATAGATTTGAAGGAAGAAGTTTCGTAAAGAGCGCGAACGGTAGTGTGATGTAAAATTACTCATGCTAGAAAATTTCATAAAAGTGACCCCAAAAACTTCGCTAACTCGGTAACCCGTGGCCCGATTTTAACGAAATTTGTTTTATTCTGTTTCTATTCTCATTTCATCAAAAATATGGCGCTATTGTGTGCAGTTTTTGCTGTATTTCATTACAGACAAGCACACAAACAAACAATCTCGAAGTTCTAGTAGTATATAGATTATGCCTTTTTAGCTATATCGTTCATTTTAGTTTGGTTTGATTTGAATTTCGCGCAAAACTACACAAGGGCTATCTGCGCTAGCAGTCCCTAATTTAGCAGTGAAAGACTAGAGGGAAGGCAGCTAGTCATCACCACCCACCGCCAACTCTTAGGCTACTGTTTTACCAATGAATAGTGGGATTAAACGTCATATTATAACGCCCCTGCGGCTGAAAGGGCGAACATGCTTGGTGGGACGGGGATTCGAACCCGCGACCCTAAGATTGCCGTTTGTTTGTTTTTTTAGTACAAAATTTCGACACCATTCAGGTTTGGGGGAAAAATAAATACTTTAATGTTTCCTATAAAACTAAACTTTAAAATTCCAGTAAATAGTTTTTTTCGAATTCATTTCATACCCAACGTTTCTTATCGCTAGTTTTCACCGAGAAAATAACGATTTAGTCTATTCTGAACTAATTATTGAGCCCAAAATCAGAAGCATGGGAGAAAAGTGTATCTGATACGAAACACTAACATCAAAAAATACCTTAGAATTATAAAGAGAAGATAAAATTATTTGTTGAATAGTTGTAAAACAGAGAAGTTTTAAAGTAATCTTTAAAAAATTGGACAGAAATACCACAACAATTAGTAGGCCATAAAAAGTTTAAAATACTAACCTTTAAGGATCTCAGTGTTATAAGGTAATTATGGAATTTCTTCAACACAGACCTTTTATTTTGAGCTTCATCTGGTGTCTTGATCACAAAACTCTAGAATTTCGAATAAATGGCTGTTCCTTGTATGTATCTATGTATATATACTTTATACATATAAAATGGAAATGTGTTCTAACGGAATTATACTAAGAATTTCCAAGTTTTATAGCTAGTATTATTATTTTCAATTTATTTTTACAGATCAAACTCGAATTTTCAAAACTGTCGAAAATTTTTATTTAAATTGAGGTTATTAAAGACTATATCCACAAAAATATAATAAAATAAAAATTAATGCTTAATGTTTCTCATATCGAGGCGTTTCCAGTGGTACTTTTACAGATATGCAACGTTGAAATTCAGGATTCGATTCTCCGTGCTATAGAAAGCGCAGATAGTCTAGTGTGTAGTTTTGAGTTAAAATATACAAACCTGTCGAGGTCAAAGGCGTAGTTAAGATGTGTGTGTAAGCAAATTGTTAAATACTCCAATTAGATAAGGTAAAAATCAGTTTGAAATTTTAACATCATCAAGGAGCTAATCTCAAAACTTATGGCTGGAATAGTCTAAAATGTAAGTAGTATTTACATTGATGGATTGATTTACCAAGATTTGATTAAAGAAGGAACTACTCAAGTTTAAATACAAATAAAAAGAATTAAATCATTAAACGAAGTATGGAACGAATTAAGCAGTCTGCTTTTGGCTTCACTTTAAATACAGTCATAAGCAAATTATAATTTATAGCACTAATAGAAAATATCTCATTATTGTTAAATGCCCCTAAAACACTTCGTGGCAGAAAATAATTGGGCTATATTTCTTTAGAAGGAACACAATATTTTGTAAGTATTTACTGTAAATAGATACATGAATTTAAAATTAGAAAGAACTACGCTTGATTTCTTTTATAAATACATACAAGTATTTTATTGTACATAGTAAAACTTTTGTTTATTTTATACATAACCTTTCACCTGGCATGATCAGGTGAGATACAATAACTGAGGTTCAGTGTGTTGTAGACGGATACGCTCAACTGTAAAATAGTTTTAAAATAATTCTTGATAGATGTAAACGTATGTATTTCATTTGCAAATATCTGAATTTTAACACGTTATTTCATTAGGATATATTTAATTTGTAAGTTAATATGAAGTGAATATTTTGTAATTTCAACATTAACAGACGCATTGTATTTTCTCTCTATGTTGGAAGAATTTCAAGACTGGACTCAAAGAGTCACCTAATATTAAAATGAACATCTGGTTAACAAAAAGTCTGAAATATTATGTCACCTAATTATAAAATGAAGATTTAGTTAACAAAAAGTCTGAAATATTATATCACTTAATGTTAAAAAGTGTACATTTGGTTAATATCAAGGATATTTAGATACGGTGTATAAGTATAGTAAATGTTAGTTATATAACTTGTCACCGGTCTTTTTTCAGGAAACGTTGGTCCTGGTTTGTGTAAGAAAATCATATACTAGTTGAATTATAACTTTCCTGGATAGTAAAAAACTAGCTCAAATAACAAAACAAAAACTAAAAAAAACCTATACCACGAAAAATGGCTAATGCGCAATAGATGTTTTAATATTCACAATGTTTCGAACTGGTCCTCTGGTGATTAATTACTGTTTTTCTTTAGCTGTAGCTTAAACCACAGGTTGGTACATTTTCAAGCTGCCTGTATGTTGACCATTATTTTTCTTTAAACACACCAACAGGAAAATACTATTATAATATTATATTATTTTAGTATAGTTGAGCAAAAATTAATTTTATAGGTACTTCTACTTCAAATACCAGAAGTAATTCCATCTTTCATTTTTAAATAGCGCTGATAGTTTCAACTTACGTTATGGAAACAGGAAACATTTATTTTCATTCGAAACCGGTTTGAATACAATTTATTTATTTTTTTATTTTTTTTGCATACCGACTTAAAAGAAACAGTCTCCATCCCACAATGAATAGTTTTTACTCTCCAAGATTATGAAAAGCAAATTAGTCTAATCATTTTTTATCATTTAAATAATTCTAGTTGTAGTCGTTTTTAATGGAATTTTCCTGCCATTTAGTGAAAAGTTAAAACTAAGATAAACAAAGGTTTTGAATTTTCCACTACGTTTGTTTTATAATATTTTCTTTGTTCTCCTTTATGTACTTTAATTAATGAGTAATATTATTGTTATTATATTTACGAGAAGCACTTACCTCAATGCAGTTCTGAAAGGATGATAATAAAGGGAAATAAAAATACTTTAGAAATGTTGTTAATATTTTATAGACTTATAGAAATAAAAAAATAGAAGGAGAGAAAGAAGAAAAGAAAAATCCACTGATTGACAAAATACATTGTAATGTAACAACATCTGGATTTGTCGAATAAAACAGTAGGTGGAGAAGGCCGAATAAATACTCAGTTCATGAACAAAAAGCAAATGTAGTCAGGCCAGATTTACCAATTTCAGGAGAAGTTTGTTTGTTTTGAATTTCTCGAAAAGCCACACGAGGGCTATCTGCGCTAGTCGTTCCTAATTTAGCAGTGTAAGACTAGAGGGAGAGCAGCTAGTCATCACCACCCACCGCCAACTCTTGGGCTACTCTTTTTACTAGCGAATAGTGGGATGGACCGTCATATTATAACGCCCCCACGGCTGAAAGGGCGAGCATGTTTGGTGGGACAGGGTTTCGAACTCGCGATCCTCAGACTGCGAGGAGAGCGCCCTAACCACCTGGCCATGCCAGTTAATAATCACTACTTAAAGTGTATGACTACTTGCTCTTTTTAAACAAAAGAGAAAAACAAACATATAAGAAGATACAATATTGATTACAACAATTGACTCTAAATATAAAATATATATAATTTTAAAACGATTGGAAGCATTGATAAATCACACTCAACTGACCGTATGGGTTTCAAGGTTATAAATTTATGATATAAAGATATCACCAGATTTTTCCTCTGTTTGGTGTAGGTTGATTATCTTTGCAAGAAAACTAAAAACTTATTGCTATATACCCTTCTAAAAAACTATAACCTATGAGTTGAGTTTTAATGGTTATTTGAATACATTGTATTTTTAGTATCAGTTTAACCGAAGAGAGATATTAGTACAATATTAGTTTAAATAACGAGAGATATTAGTACAATATCAGTTTAACTGAAGAGAGAGATATAAGTACAATATCAGTTTAACTGAGGAGAGATATAAGTACAATATTAGTTTAAATAACGAGAGATATTAGTACAATATCAGTTTAACTGAAGAGAGATATAAGTACAATATTAGTTTAACTGAGGAGAGATATAAGTACAATATTAGTTTAAATGACGAGAGATATATAAATACAATATTAGTTTAAATGACGAGAGATATAAATAAAATATTAGTTTACTTACTCTTGGATTCATCTAAAAGGCGGCATGAAAGTAATGAAAAAAAGAACGTATACACAATCTAAACACAATTAGAAACATAAATTCTCTCTACTAAAGATTGTAAGAATCTTAAGAAACATAAAATTTCTCCACTAAAGATTGTAAGAATCTTGAAAAACATAAAATCTCTCTACTAAGGGTAAGAATCTTAAGAAACATAATATCTCTCTACTAAAGATCGTAAGAATCTTAAGAAACATAATATCTCTCTACTAAAGATCGTAAGAATCTTTGAAAACATAAAATCTCTCTACTAAGGGTAAGAATCTTAAGAAACATAAAATATCTCTACTAAAGATCGTAATAATCTTTAGAAACATAAAGTCTCTCTACTAAAGATCGTAAGAATCTTTAGAAACATAAAGTCTCTCCACTAAAGATCGTAAGAATCTTTAGAAACATAAATTCTCTCTACTAAAGATCGTAAGAATCTTTAGAAACATAAAGTCTCTCTACTAAAGATCGTAAGAAGCTTTAGAAACATAATGTTTCTCTACTAAAGATCGTAAGAATCTTTAGAAACATAAAGTTTCTCTACTAAAGATCGTAAGAAGCTTTAGAAACATAAATTCTCTCTACTAAATATTGTAAGAATCTTAAGAAACATAAAATGTCTCCACTAAAGATTGTAAGAATCTTTAAAAACATAAAATATCTCTACTAAGGGTATGTTTCTTAAGATTCTTAAAATATATCTACTAATGATCGTAAGAATCTTTAAAAACATAAAGTCTCTCTACTAAAGATCGTAAGAATCTTTAGAAACATAAAGTCTCTCTACTAAAGATCGTAAGAATCTTTAGAAACATAAAGTCTCTCTACTAAAGATCGTTAGAATCTTTAGAAACATAAAGTTTCTCTACTAAAGATTGTAAGAATCTTTAGAAACATAAAGTTTCTCTACTAAAGATTGTAAGAATCTTGCAGCAGCAGAAGCTTAGAATAATATTATGGTTTATGTTTAGATAATAGCCTGTTTGACAATCTGACATCTTGTGAAGCTTATGGTATAGCAAACACAATGCAACTATAGCTTTTTGCGGAACTATATTTGAAGTGATTAATTGATTATTTTAAGATTAATAAGTTCTCATAAAATACTTTTTCTGTACCGAAGAAGAATGTAGTATAATTATCTAATACCTTACGTCAAGATCCGCTTTATAATTAGAAATAACAGCTATAAAATTTAAGTAGCGAAAACTATGCTTTCAAGAGAGCCGCCAAACTGAAAGATTAATTACTGGCCTTAAGTAATACCCAACAGATGTCGCCAAACGCAATAACTTCCTACTCGATATGAAAGTAATAAGGACAACAAACGCGATTTCAACATTAAACGTACATTAAAAGGATACCAATATGATCCAAATGATGAGAGATTAGCGATTAAACCGCACTAAAATACTATTGAAACTGAACCACAATCTGAAAATACGCGTTTATTTTTCCCAATCTCATTTGGACTGTCGTGAAATATTTTCCGCAAAAAAACAAACAAAAAAAAACGAGTGTAAATGTTCCAAATAATTCTAGTTACGTTGGTATGTTTGAAACTTTCATCATTACATACACGTGCTATGAAGATATGACTGACTTTCAGCAGTTATACCATGCCGATTTTTCGGTTAACTTATACAATTATTTCTTCGTCTTATAGCCATATTAGAATAATTCAGTAAATATACATAAACGTTTAATGGATAAATTTGACAATCTCTTTAATACTATATTCCTAAGAAATATATATCAAGTTTTAAAACAACTTTAGAGAGACACTACATTTTTATTTTTTAATTGCAGGAAAGTGTGATGTATCATATGTTAATTAAATCGATTTACGTCAGTGAAGTACAAAAACGCACAAATAACATTTCTGTGTATAAAAGTATGTATCTTGACCCGCAGTAAATCTTATTCCACTCTACGTCGAGGAATTGTTTGGAATTTCGCGCACAGCTACACGAGGGCTATCTGCACTAACCGTTCCTAATTTAACAATGCAAGACTAGAGGGAAGGCAGCTAGTCAACACCATCTTGGGTTACTTTTTTAACAACGAATAGGGGGATTTACGATTACATTATAACGAGGCGAGTATGTTTGTTGAAACGAGGATTCGAACCCGCGACCCTCAGATTATGCGTCAAGCGCCCTAATCACCTGACCACACCAGGTCCAAACGGATAGTTTATTGTGTAGACTTGTAGTTAAACAAACCAAATATAAACAAAACTAAATATAACTAAAGAAATAAGTGTTTAACTTAAAAAACAAAACAGGTTATAGGTCAATATTATTAAAGGTCATAATAAGAATCCAAGTGGATGTTAGTTTACTACATCGTAAACCATAAAAATCGACATCCTTTATACTTCATTAAAGGATGGTATAAGTAACCATATCAACTAAATACGGAAAGTTTTATCACCTTAAGATGGTCCTCGGATAGTTAGGCATTAATTGTCAACCGGTGATAAAAGAATATTTCAAAATTCACTGGGAGTGTAAATAAAAAGCTGATGGTATTAATGTCATGATGTATTTAAAGGTTTAAGTTGCAGCACTGTATTTGTAAATGTTGTGAAAAATAAAGCCTAAAACGAATCGGAAGTTGTTGTTTTATTCCTAATTTGTAAAAAATCCTTACGTGTTAGAGAAAAATTCAATTATTTTCGAAATTCGCGTAGATGAATTATGGAAAATCCGTTGCTAATTCGCTGGCCTGTGTAATTTATATATATATATCAAATAAATTGAAGTGTGCTTACCATCTAAGATTCGATGACACAAGAAAAAAGGGTTGAGAACAAGAATGAAAGAATCATTAATTAAAAATGGTAATATTTTCAAAATATAAATGTGGAATCATTCTTAGCGGTTTTAAGTATTAATTTGTCGATAGTCGTAACAGAAGTACCTTTTTTATTATCTTAAAATTTCTCTAAACTAAACATTTTAACACATTTAATAAACGAATCGGAAGGAAGTGACCAATTTGTTCATAGGAAACATTTCAACGTAACACGGAAATTATAACTCCAGTTACAAAGTTAATGAGAACATTATAAAAAATAAAGACTTAGCAGCTGAGCACGAGCATGTCACTGCTCTTATTTTTCTAAGGACAAACAGAAACAATAGTGACCGTTCAGTCGTTAAGCCTTATTATGGTGACCGACGAAGAAACTAGTTCAATGGCCATAACGTGATTAATATTTAACAGTTTGTACTTCATAATGGAGAAAGTTACACAGTAAATGTAATCACGGAATATTTCGGAAGGACTATTATTTTTTTTATGAAAATAGAAGAAACTAAAGAATTATATTTTAGAGTTTAATAACGCTGCGTTGTTGTTGTATTTTAAGTACCTACTGTTTGTTTGTTTGTAGCTAAGCACAAAGCTATACAAAGGGCCATCTGTGCAATGCCCAGCATGGGTATCGGAACCCGATTTCTAGCGATCTAAGTCCGCAGACATACCGCTGTGCCACTGGGGAGCAGCACCTACTGACACTAATCATTTGAAGTGATTAATTCTAATAATATGTGGGAGTACTTACATTGTTGTGAACAACTGTTAATCAACTCCCTAAAGCAGAATCTTCGTAGAGTTTTTTAAGTCATTTTAATTCACCATTTCTTAGTTTCAATTAATTTAGGCATGTGAATAATATAGTGGCATTGCGCCAAATGAATTATTCGATATTAAACAGTGGACCAACTGTTTATTGATAACATTATAGATTTTTCTTTTCACTAAAGCTAAAAATTGAAAATATAATCTGTGACGTAAATACATTCTTTGATTCGTCACATCCTTTGCTGTGATCTACAGTTTCGCCTATTCAAGGCTCATCAGCACAGCTTGGGTCAGTAAACCTCAGAAATACAGTTAGGCTTCTTATAGTGGTTGAAAATATATAATCTGTGACGTAGTGCCTCATTGTGTTTCTTTGGTTTGCTGATCAAAGATGGTGCAAAACTTATTATATCCACAACAGTAAACTAACGTCCCTAAACTCATCTACAGCATAAAATAAAGCTTATGTAATATATTGATATACTTAGAACTGTATAACATATATAGGTAAATTTAATCCATATAATATATGCCACTTAAGACAATAAAATATATGCTGGTTCTTATAACCATATAATATATAATGTCATTTAAAACCATACAATATGTACTGGTTCTTACAACCATAAAATATAAATATATATATATGTGTGTGTGTGTCTTGTTCTTATATGTTTAATAATTGGAAAAATATCTGTGACTAAATAAATGTTCAAATTTTGAAACTGGACAAAAGCTAAACAAATGGAATATTGAACACGTAAGTGTGGCTTTTACTCTCGGAAATCTTGCGTTGAATATTATGTTAGACACTTTCCGGTTTTATACAAACACAGACAACGATTTTAATCTTTCTAATATTTTTAAAGAGCACAGACAACGATTCTAATATTTCTGATATTGTTTTAAACAAACGCAGACAACGATTTTAATTTTTCTGATATTGTTTTAAACAAATGCAGACAACGATTTTAATCTTTCTGCTATTATTTTATTTCTATTGCAACGCTGTAAAACAGATGTGCCAGGTAAGTTTAATATTTTGTTATATTAATCGAATTTTCTATCCGTCTGCATACATTAAAAGATGGCAGCTTTAGATATCATCGAATGATACGTTTCATATATTACTTTTGTTATCTGTTTTGAAATATATGTATAGTATTTTCCCGAAATGTGAATAAAAATAACTCACAATGCATCATGCAGTTTATTTATTTTAACAGTTATGCCCTAGGGTCAGTTAAAATTGATGTTCGCTTTTCTGAACAAACACAGACAACGATTTTAATTTTTCTGATATTGTTAAACAATATCAGAAAAATTAGAATCGTTGTCTGTGCTGTTTAAAAAATATTAGAAAGATTAAAAATCATTGTCTGTGTTTGTATAAAATAATATAAGAAAAATTAAAATCATTGTCTGTTTTTGTTTAAAACAATACCAGAAAGATTAGAGTCGTTGTCTGTGTTTGTATATAACAATATCAAAAATATTAGAATCGTTGTCTGTGTTGTTTAAAACAATATCAGAAAGATTTGAATCGTTCTCTGTGTTTGTGGAAAACAATATCAGAAATATTAGAATCTTTGTTTGTTTTTAGGTACCTGATGATGACAAAACCTTGTCGAAACGTTGTACATCTGCTGTTATATTAAAGTTTTTCTTCATTACCCATTCAAGCCGTCTCCAGCCATTATTAATATCAGAAATGTTAAAATCGTTGTCTGTGTTGTTTAAAACAATATCAGAAAGACTTTAATCGTTCTCTGTGTTTGTTTACTAATCAATTTAACTTGTTAACATAAAATGTGTTTTACTTAAGTTTTACGTTTTGCGTAAACCTTCTTGATACAAATCCAGTAGTAAAATACCATTATTTTAAAACAATGTTTCAAGGTTAAAAACTTGTCAACTTCTATGTGGAAGTTTAAAAACAGACCTAAAACAGCTTGCAGTACAGTTGTCTCATAAAACGAGAAACACTCAATAGTGAAATAATAACAAGGCATAAAAATATATTTTAACATTTCTATTCTTCACAGATACTTCTTTTAAGAAACACCGAATAACAATGTTACAGGACATTCATTATTCTATGATTTATGATGATTGTAAGATTTGATAAAAAAAAACACTAACACACTAAGATTTCTTACAATGGAAATCTTATTTATGTCGATAACACAGGCCTGTGATGGTTTTATTGTCTTAATACTTTTACATATTCTACAGTAATTCCTGTATGCTGAATCCGAAAAATGATATCCATTTATCGCCAACACGTACAGATTTTTCACAGAACATCATATTTACTTTGTTTTTTGTTATGCTTAAAATGTTGACAATCACTGGCTATAGATTTCTCTAGACCAATCGCAACTTGAGAGTCTTATCGATCGTTCTAGAACCCACGAGAAACACACCGCTAGTATATAAACGGTTAACAGGCTGCATGACGTGTCATTTGTAGATAGCATTTGTTTGTGCGTGCATTTTAATATAATTTTTTCTTTTCAATATTATTTATTCATCGCAATGGCAACAAGAGGTTGTGTAAATGACCCAAACATATTATGTTATATTTGTGGTAAATTTGATCTAAGTAAGAGTTTTTTTCCCTAATTTGTAAAAAAATCCTTACGTGATAGAAAAAAATTAATATTATTTTCGAAATCTGAGTAGCTGAAATATGGAAAATCCGTTATTAAAACTAAAACAATCTTTATGAAGTTTAAATTCGCTGGACTGTTTAATTTATATATATAAAATAAATTGAAGTGTGCTTACCATCTAAGATTCGATGACACAAGAGAAAAGGTTGAGAACGAGAATGAAAGAATCATTAAGTTAAAAATGGTAATATTTTACAAAATAAATGTGGAATCATTCTTAGCGGTTTTAAGTATTAATTTGTTGATAGTTGTAACAGAAGTTCCTTTTTTATTATCTTAAAATTTCTCTAAACTAAACATTTCAACACATTTAATAAATGAAGTTATTCGATAATCAATGTATTCAATCTTCAATCATGAATCTACTACTAAATCAACTTTCTAAAAAATAGAAAATAATTAAGTATATTATATTAATAACTCATATAAAACATTCAAACATTGGCGTTATTTTATTTTACATTTTCTTCAAATAACATGTTTCATTTAAAGTTCAAATGTAATGTTAAGCAATTTTTTATAAAATCCAAATCAATAAATAAAGCTGAAAATATTACATTAGAATATATAAAAAATACCTACCCCTATACCCTGACGCATGTGAGAAAAATATATTAATTATTTTCAATTTCAAAAACACATATTCATTGAAAATTTAAAAGAACATATGCAAGTCACAATATATAGACTTTCATATAAGTAATTACAAATTGAGAAATAAAACACAAAATTGAAATAAAATGTAATTAAAATATTAAAAACAAAACAACATATACTTCAAAAATAAAATACAACAACTTATAAATCATTAAAACAAAAAATAACTAAAATCATACAAATAACAAATTAGAGATATCACTAAATTAAACTTATGCCAGATTAATTAGAACAAGACTACACGTACTGGTGAAGTAAGATGATTAAACATTAGCGTAAATGTGAACTCTGTGGAATTAGATACCAAAATATACATAATTTTGTCTAATTTAATTACTGTGTGAAACATGTGTAATAAAAACTGAAATTTGTATACATTTAACAATAACAGAATATCGAAATCTTAGATAGTAGAATGGATTGTTTTCTCTGTTAGATGTTTTTTAAAAGTAAAATATCATAAATAGGTTTAAATTAAAATGAACAAAACAGCCATAAGAACTGTGTTCGATATCTAATGAAAAAAATATAGATAATAAAAGTTTTGATGTTGTTCCACCAAAAATATTATTATTTAACAACACAGTCTTTTAATTTTAAATACTAAAACTCATGATCAAAATATGTTACTTAAGAAATACATGATCAAAGTATGTTACTTGAGCAGTTCATGATCAAAATTATGTTACTTAAGCAGTTCATGATCGTCATATGGTATTTTAAGTTTGTTGTTGTTTTACGTTATTTACGTTTTATCCACTGCGAGGAATCAAACCTATATTTTAGCATTTTAAGTCCATAAACTTAATGCTTACTCACCACAACTCCCCATCTTATGAGCACAACATGAAAATGATAGGGTAAAAGTTATGTATATACAAGCTTATGATATGGGAATACGGTACAGGATAAACAAAACCAAAAGTTTGAGTTGTCTGGTAATTGTATGTATGAATACTCGGTGGTGAGAGTACCCACCCATTAAGAAGATTACAAAAATTATATAAGACAATGTTAATAATGTTTCCTCTTCTTCTTTCTTTTGTTATTAAATCCCTAATGACATCATTAGATCCTAGCTATATAACCTGCTGCGTAGAAGATGATAATCGACTCATTTAACTGATTAAGTACTTGTATCTTTAACTTCAAAGCCAAAAGTCTATAAAAAAAAAGAGTGTAAATGTGCTCTATCTATTTCAAGGGCCTTTTTTTACCCCCTCCCCCTTAACGAACAAAGATCCTAAAACAAAATAGCCTGTGTACATCACCTGGGTGACGGATAGTAATACACACACACGTATAATGGATCATCTTTATAGCAAGATAGAAAACATAATTTGTATACGTTTTAATAGTAGTTACGTCATTTCTAAAACTGCAAGGAATTGGGATAACCACTGAAATACCATTTTATTATTGTTTACTTATACATATAATTGTTTTAGCTTTATACAATTTAATGAAAATTTAATTTTTCTAGAAATAAATTTTCAAAATTAATTGTTTTGAGTAGTTAGATCCCGTTACCTCGTGTGTAAAATAATTTGAAAGGTTACATCTCGTTTCATTTTTATTTATTATATTGGTCTTCAAGATAAATAGTTATTCCTCGGTGGCTTACCAGTAAGCTCGTGAGCTTTTAAACACTAAAAATTGGGTTTCAATATCCGTGGCGGTATAGCGCAGATTATTTAACTTTGCGATTAAATACAAAACAACAACAACAACAAAAAAATAGCTGAAAATAACAAACTGAACAATAAGTATACGATGTTCACTGTTAGAAACAACTGATTTCATGAACAGAGTAAAAATCATCAATTAATTTAAATTACTTTTCTGATTTATATTAATGTTTATAAACAGTTTATCATTACTATCATAAACGAGTTTATTCCCCTTAGTATACAAAGTAGTTTTCTCTTTTGTACCAGACGATTCACTGAGTTCCTAACTACAAGTTGTCCGAAAAGTCTGGAATTATAGATACTTCAACGAATTTTACAGAATCTGTTCCACGTGCTGTCCTTCTAACTTGCAACACATATGAATTAACAGCAGGATTAACTCGACCTTCTCATGCATTGACAGTGCCATAATCAGTCACGTATCTCAATTAAGAACAGCTGCAAATCACCTATGGTTCCAGATTTTTCAGACACTCTGTATAAAAATATAAATAGACTAATCTACTAAAAAATTAAGTACCACTTACCAGGTTCATCTGCAGCACAAACAACAGAATTAAACCAAGACATAATTATTTATCTTGTCACGTTTTTATTGTTTTTAATGGTTTAAATGATTCTTTATATTACCTGATAAAAGTTTATGTGTGTCTGGGGGAGTGGGCTATGTCTTGTCCCATGCATTTAACAAGTACGTTAACTAATTCTTTATAAAATCAGACAGCTGCAAATAAGGTTTTGTTGACTCTTGTATTACTATCCGTATCTAATAAGCGTGACTAGAAATTTTAATATATATAAATATATTAAAATTTATTTTTTAATTATCCAGAAAAGTTTTCGGAATATTGCTATACTTACCGCTCTTTTCCATTTTGGAGATGAGTACGAAACTTCTGGAGACCAGGTCAACAAATAATCTTTGATCGTGTCGAAAGAACTAGGGTTTTCTAGATAATTGTTGGGGGAAAAAATGAACTGAGAAAAGTTTTCCACCTAGATAATAAACCTCACCAAAAGCTTTATTAAAACAGTAGTCTTACTTAGGTAAGTTCTGTTGGATCGGGCATAAAATAATAAATTATTACCTTAATTTGTATGATTTTTTGTGATAATTTCTTAATTGATTAGAGCAACTACGCTAGACATTTAATATAATTTTCTTCGAATGTTACGTGTCACTTATATCAGTATCATGATTGATACATAATTTTAAAAATATAAAGCTCAGAAGTTGTAAAGTTACATTTGTCACTTAAGAAAAGCTTTACGTAACACGTTAAAAGAACGTATTCGTAAGAAGGTTCAAATACATCCTAAGCTTATTTTTCTGTTTATCCAACAGGGTTTTCATGTTTCTTGAGTTTGTAAACACATTTATTCTTTAACAACCTGATGTCTATGATAGCTGAAAACGTTTCTGATCCGCAGGACAAGTATAATCACCGACATTTTAGCCTCAGTAGACTGTTTACTGGCTTGAAATGCTTCGGATACACGCGAAAAAATACATAAGTGATATCAGTACTAGACATCCCTAAATTTGAACTGATAAACTAGAGGGAAGGCTAGTCAACAATACTTTCCGCCAATTCTTGTGATACACTAGACGAATATTGGGATTTGACCGTTACTATTATAACGCACCCACAGGCCCAGAGTGTGAAGCGCGACTATTTTGGGCATCGAGGCGCAAACCATGGACCTTCAAATTCACAGACCGGACATGCTAAGCTATAGACCGCGCCCGACCATTTTCTTTGAAACATATACAAGTGATACACATAAGAGGTAAATCATGTATTTCTAAAGACCGCTATCAAATTAGTCCTTTCATAAATATCATTTGATCCAGTGATCCCTAGCTCTATTAAATCAAGAATCCCTAAACTGAGCACCCGGATCTAAGTATAAAGGAATGAAAGAAACCCATATTGTAGCCTGACTTTAAGAATTAGTTCTGATTCTCCCATTCCGTAGATCCTAGATAAATAACATTTAACTACATTTATTACTGAAAACAATAATAACAAACACAGATAATCAGCGCTAGGATTTAAGAAAAGCAAATAAAATATTTTAACAAAGTAGAGAAAACCCGACTGGTAATATTTTCTTATTATCTGTTTCGTTAAGTAAGCTTGTTTCGCGTGGTGGATGTATTCCGACAACACAGAATCACTGATGATATTTAGTAGGAAAACAGTTTCTGAAGATTAATACACATATCCTCTTATGAAGCGTTTAAGCATAATAAATGTTTTCTCCACTGCTACAGTTTCATCCATGTGCGAAATTACAGAGATATAATCCGAAAAAAGGTTAAGATTTCTTAATAACAACAAGCACATTCAAGATAGACGTAAAGAACCTAGAGGGGTCAAAGTTCACGAACCAAAGAATAATTTTGAAAAGAGTCAGCTGAAACAAGAACTAGACTAGTGCAGGTATAAGTCCCCATCAATTTCACAACCACAGTACTACAGGTGTCAGGTATAAGTCCTACCAATCTCACAGGTATAAGTCCCTACCAATCTCACAGGTATAAGTCTCTACCAATCTCACATCTACAGTACTACAGGTGTCAGGTATAAGTCCCCACCAATCTCACATCTACAGTACCACAAAGTATCAGGTATAAGTCCCCCCAGTCTCACATCTACAGTACTACTAATCTCACATCTAGAGTAGTGCAGGTGTCGGGTATAGTACAAGCGTGAGGTATAAGTCCCTACCAATTACACAGCTAGAGTAGTACAAGCGTGAGGTATAAGTCCCTACCAATTACACAACTAGAGTAGTACAAGCGTGAGGTATAAGTCCCTACCAATTACACAGCTAGAGTAGTACAACTAGAGTAGTACAGG